TCTTGGTATGCTACAAGCTGCATACCAATGCTGACTGTAGCGGTCACTTTATCGTTTGTTATAACAACAACTGGTAGTAGCCAAGGAATAAGTGGCTACCATCACTGCTGCACGCTGTGTGGATGTTCTTTAGGTCTGTCGATACAACACTGTTGGCTGTCCACATCACTAGTCGACCTGTCGATCTCACCTCTGGACGACATCTGTCCACTGGCCCGACCACCAGACCTTTCTGTCGCCACGCGTCAGCCACTGTAACCAAGCTGATGTGGGGATTCGCGTGAGAAAACAATTGAGCGTGGGAGAAGGCCGTCTGTCGGCTGCCGAAGGGTCGAACCTGATGAGCGACCGGCAGACGAGTGGTCTCGGCTTTCGGGAAGACTAGCCGCGCTGATGGAGTCTCCAGATGGTTGAAAATGACAGACGATTTAAGGAGTGAGGTTACTGAAACTCAGGGCTGATTTTTGAACTTGCAGTATTGATTTAGTCGAAAGTTTTGATTTTTGTTTGAAGATTGGCGAAAAATTGTGGCGGACTGCGTGTGGGTCAAAAGGCTGAGGAATTCTACAAATTTTTGTGTCGGATGTGTTTCATTTCCAGTGCTTGCAGCATATTAATTGGTCCTGGATCCTCGTTGCTAAGCTGCGACGTAGGTCTGAAGCGTTGATGCTGGCGACCGCGCTGACCTTGCGGCCACGCCGACCCATGCAAGTCAAGTCAGGTGGCGCTTAATGATTATTAGAATCACCGCAATTAGACCCACAGTTTACTCTGCCTATCGTCCTTGATACTTGTATCTGGCCTCACAGGGACATTGCCGCCATGACCTTATTTCTGGACTAATGACGTACTGCCTCTGACAGCCTACTCGCTGCAAGCTATGCTCGTCAGCAGAAACTGGAACGTTTTATGTTTTCTACAACGGCACAACCTTTTTGCTTTCATTTTACGGGATAAATAGCCTAGCAAACGCCTTCAAACCCCTAACGCGACGCTCCGTTGTGCTCGGTATAGACGTGTTACACGTAGCTTTCAATCCCTGCCACCAGATGGCAGTAGCAGTGTGACGCCTGAATCCATACTGTACCGCAATGCTCAGGACTTGGCCAGTGCGCGGCGCAACGGAGAAAGGCTGACAACGCAACGGAGAAGGCTGACAACGCAACGGAGAAGGCTGACAAGCTGCTCACTAAGAACTCTGTATCTTCTTGAAACTAATAATGACTGATTTATAAAGAATGTCATAGACATAAAATATAGCAACAGGCTGTTTTATTCAACTTTGACTTGAGTCGTGATTTGTGTTGGCTAGTATAATAATAGGTATAGGCGAAGATAGGCAGATATTTGTCAGTTTCCAAGTTCATGACTTTAATTAACTATTTAAATACTTGGAAGGTTGTCGGACTGCTTCAGCGTATTTGTCTTTACAAACGTTTGATTACTTTCATGTGTGAAAAAGTCTACTTGAAATTTGAACCATCCGCAAAAGCATTGTCTGTTCTCTTGGTTGTGCTCGAGATTTTGACTCGAATGTGGCCTAAACCCGTCTTTGCCGGGCTGAATGGAGATGGGATATTAGCCGTCCAACCGGCCCCTCAGCGGCACACACCTGGTATTTCTTGCTGGGTCATCACTGTGCTTCGTTCCAGCAGCGCCTTCGAACCCTTTCTGGGCCTGAATCGACTCCGTAAACCATCTGCGACCGGCGGGGGCATTGTTGACCCATCGATTCCCGTTTGTGGCCGAATGGAGCTAACCGCCACGGCTGCAGTGCCAGGCTCGGCCGCTGGACTGTCGGGTCGTCCTGTTGCCATGGGTGGAATACGTTGTGGCCAGCCTATGTTGGCACTGCAGTGCCTAATGCTCCCGGTGTCCGGGTTTATTGGCAAATTTAGACCGTCAGAACCACCGGTGAGCGGGTCGCTATTGAAGTGCGGCCCAGGTCTATTCTGGGGATTCCATAATGAGTTCCAGGAATAAAGCCCCATTGGCATGTCCTGATGTTCTGCGTGACTAATTACCTGCAAATATAATTATTGTATTAGCCCGAGTGTCTGGGGCCGGACACCCCACATTTCATGCGGCGATCGAACACTTAATCACGCCGCAGGCGACTGCTCTACGCTACGATCTTGTCTTTGGTGCTTTTGGAGGTATTTATGAGAGCTTTTTACTGCTTTGTAAGTGCAGGCTAAATGTGATATCTGAAGCGCTTTTGATGGCCTAGCTGGAGTTTCATTTTTCTCGTTAACCCATTTGACTTAGCACGGATGCCGCTGACGCCTCTGACAGATGGCTTATAACGTTTAGTTTTTATTATCAAAGACGAAATCTTGATATATGATAAATAGCGGTATGAAAATATGACCATATCTGTATGAAAAATACGACCATATTCATCTTAAACAAATCTGTTTCTGATTTTCAGTAAATGTTCATGGTACCTTTGCAATTGGCCCATTATATTTTAGTTGCAGGATATTATTTTGTAAGATAAACACTCGGAAATACCTATCTTCTTCCACGTTTTCTTTATTTGCATTGCTCACACCTGCATTCAAATGATTCTATTTATGTCATCATATACCACTTGTTCGCGACAAATGATTATCAATTGTGATAGGACAAATGCAACAGTCTGGGCAGCGTTACACAGTGATGTCATGGCTAACAAACACTCCGAAAATTGGCACCTTTAAACGATGTCAAATATTTATAGTGGCCTCGCTACTAGCATGGGGCCAAGTATAAACTAACCAAGGGATTTTTCAGAACGACATAAATGTAGCAGCGCCAACACTGCACTGGCATCGAACGCTAAACTCGCAAGGCGCCAAACAAAATATTTCTTCTCGCTCAAACGGTGATTGCTGACATTCTTTGATGCGAGAAACCACCTGCGAAAATAAGGCAGCGCCCAACACAATGATTGTGGAACTCAAACGAATTGCCAGACGCCGCAGAAGTTGCCAACAGCTGTGACTGGCTATTGGCGAAAACCACCGAGGGCCAAATGAAACTTGAATAAAGTAAAGTGCCCCACAAGAAGGAATGAGTGCAATTAAAATGAACAACTCCAACACCAGGTTTCTTCGAACATATTGTGAATTGCCGAGATATGTAGCCTTATGTCTCTGATTTACGTAAGGTTATGTGATGTTGTTAGACAAGATAAACGTTTTGCTATATCGTGATTTTCAAATAATTGATGTCTGTGTTTCAAAGACGTCGGTTACAACTTCTGTTTACACCCACAAAGTGAAAGATTATATTGATTCGACTGCTTCTCAGAAAGTTTAAACCTAAATTTAGGGATATGCTTAAATCCACCAGAAAATCTCCAAGTACCGCCCATAGTTACGCTTTTACAACGTACTTGCTATTTAAGTGGACCGCAAACGAGCATTTCATGGCGCCTTCGCCTCTTCTCGGGATTGTTTGTGGCGCTGTAGGCCGATAATTGATGTGCATATTCGGACGGCGATTACCATTCAGATGCGAATAATACTGCCTACTGCCGCATAACTGCCTTGGATTTCCGGAAGTTCAGGCCATTGAACTCATTGTCAGCCAGTAACTACGTGAACCCGACAATAGTTTGGCAATGCCTTGAGCAACTCATCAGAGACTCCAGACAAGGTCGTTAAAGTTAAAAGCCTCCCAACTCGCCGTCATGTCTTAGTCGACATTGCAAGAGGCAAGGCACGAGGGCCGAGGCATAGGTCGAGAAGACCCCCAGGACGTATGCGTGAGGAGCTTTGCGGTCTAACCTAATACCAATGGCGCGGCAAATGTCTGTCATTTATCGTACCTTGCGTACTTCGCTCCATTGCGTGCCTGCGAAACTTAGGGTTTGTTATTCCTCCGCTTTTCTAGGCCAATGCACGCGTTACAGCGGCTTTTGGGCTATGCACACAACCGATGTTAATGCAGAATGCAGATATGATGTACGCTCTGCTTGTTTAACGTCTAATGGCTGTTTTCCTTTCATTCTGTATCCAAGCATTTGCTATAACCCCGCTAATCGTAATAACCCCGCTCACCTGTGCAAATTTTCATATTTATTTGCTTAGAGCAGCGTCTGGAAGGAAGGAGCTCCTCTTTCTAGTCATTTACCACGGTACTGAACGTTCCACCAGCTGAACCGGGCTGGAAAACTGCTGACTCTCTCCCGCTTTGTCGATTTTGGCTTCTCCCCGACTCCCAACTGTGTCATGACCCACCGCCCAACTGCGACGCCGTCCGGCCACGTCAAATGTAATCCCTCCCTGGGCGGGCCGCCGGGCCGACCCTTCCCTGAAACCACTCACCAGTCCGGTCAGCACAGCTGGCGAGATGGACGGTGACGGTGACGGCCAGAGGTTCGAGGAAGAGAGCCGCAGAAGTCGATAGACTGTAATATGCTGCCGGAGCTATTCACGTGCGACTCATGTTAACAGTTTATAGAAGGGGTTCTGCCAAACCGAGGCTGATGTGGATGTTAGGATGTGTTTATTTTCATGGTTGTGGTCTTTTGAGCCATTGGCACCTAAAAGTGTCTTTATGAGCGGTTATCTTGTTCATGAAGACCGAAATGTGTAGATGTGTGTTCACTGTTTATCTTGTGTGTTCGCCAGTTGTTATTGTTGTTTTGATGTATCGCTGATCCGCTCACGACGCTTTGTATCAAGACAATCTCCATGCTCCCTTCAAATTCTATATTTGTCTCTACCCTCCCCGACTGTAACCATTCTGCCGTATAAAGGCAAAACCCATTATGTTCGGGTGACCTCTGACCTGAGGTAATGGCCTCTGACCCGACATAATGGTTTTTGCCTTTGCACGGCAACATTATTTCAGTATTCAAGGTTCGGTTAAATAATTCAGGAGACCCGCCCTCTGTAACAGTCTCAGGGACCATCTCAGAAGTCAGCACGCCTCAATATTTCAGGGCTGGTCGGGTGACCCAGAAGCTCATCTCTCTCGTCTCTGACCATTTTGCTCTCTCCTTGTTACAGAGACGGCCGTCTTCAGGAGGGAGACCAGATTCTGGCCATTGACGGTCAGCCTCTGGACGCCAACGTGTCCCATCCGCAGGCCATCAGCATCCTCCAGAAGGCCAGAGGTTAGTACTGTAGAGAGATAGAGAGAGGGGGAGAGAGAGAGAGAGAGAGAGAGAGAGAGAGAGAGAGAGAGAGAGAGAGAGAGAGAGAGAGAGAGAGAGAGAGAGAGAGAGAGAGAGGAGAGGGAGAGAGGAGAGGAGAGAGGACGGGGCCAACGTGTCCCACCCGGCGGCAGACCATCAGCATACTGCAGAAGGCCAGAGGTTAGTGTTTTGCGAAGAGGTGCAAGCTTCACAGGCATTAAACCCAAAAGTTATTTATAGATTTTGTTTGGACATACTTTCAGGATTCATACCTTGGTGTTTAAAATAAAGCAGCCCTTGCTTTTTATGCGTTTGTTCAATAGCAGGACTTCATTCGGTCTTACGCGCTTTGACTTATCCCTTGTTTGATTAATGCACCATCTGGCCAGCGTTGCGTGTCGCTCAGCTGATAATAGGTACCCATCACGGACGCCAAATATGGCCTCTGTCTCTGATTGGTCGGAAAGAAAAAATCACCAGGCACACTAACCAGTAATCTGTCACATTTCGCTGAGTTTTACGTTCGTTTTGCGGTAACTTTCGTGCGCATCTTGCTCGGTGATCGATCCCGGTGCCATAAAAGATAGTGTTCGCCCCACCAGCCAATCAGGCCCACACCGGGCGACGCGGCGTTCAACATGCGACCTTTGCGGATCGAACCCCGGGGCTGCGTTTGACCGGCCTGGACGGCCGTCACGTGACAGAAATGTTTCAGGAGGATAGTGGAGTGTATGGGTGGAGGTGTTGGGAATATGGAAATGCCGTGTGAAGTCAGGTGGTATAGATTTTGTGTGTGACATTTGAATGGCACGGAGCCGCGTGTTCTCTGTGATTTCTCGATAGACGTAAATTACTCCTGTCAGTTGTATCTTGTAGTAAATGTACGTGCCATGAAATATGCGTCTCTCTAGTGCTTTTCCACTTCGAAATCAACCATTGTAAATGAAATGTGTGCAGGTTTCTGGGAATCCCATCTTAGGAATGTCCTGCGCGTACCACTCCTCCGCGACTGGTTCGCTCGGCCATATAACTGTCCTGGAACATATGACGAGAGAGATGAGCATCTTCCGTACTGCCAGTGTCTGGGGACTGGCTCACAAAGCCTCCCCCCTCTCTTTCGTCTCTTGTCTCCATTTTTCTGTATGTATTTCTTTTTCGTCCTTCTCCCTCCTTTTATCTCTCTGTTTCTCTGTGCCTCCTTTCTCCCTCCCGTGTTTCCCTTTCTACCTCGTCGCTCACTGTCCTCCCTCCGTTTGACAGGTCTTGTGGTGGCCCGGTCACCCCAACGGACCGCTGAGGCTACACTACCCTCTCTCACTCTCTCCCGCTCTCTCTGACAGGTCTGGTGAACCTGGTGGTGGCCCGGTCGCCCCAGCCGACTGCCGAGGCCACCCTGCCCTCAGAGCTCCTCTCCAGCCTAAAGGCGGAGACGCAGCAGCAACCTCAGCCGCCGCCGCAGCCGCAGTCGCAGCAAGACATGGTGGTACGTGATGATGGGGTTGGGGTGGGGGCCGAGTTTCGGCTCGTCCGGGCTATCTGATTGAAGAAATTTATGCTACATTACCACGGGTTGTATTAAGTTGCAATGGAGTCTGGTGACTTGTGTGATATTGTATGCTCTGTGCTACGTCTCTAATTGTGTGTTGGTAAAGAATGCATCTTGTGAACTGTGTGAAGCCCTTTGTTGTTTTCCATTTCGAAACACATCTGCAGGTTATATCATCTTTCTTTTGTCAGTCACCTTTAGTAACTTGGCGTTCCCTGTTTTTTTTTTTTAATTATCTTACATTCTATGTCACGGCAGCTGGAGATAGTTTCCTAGTATTCGGATATTCTTCTCCGCTTTCATTGTCATGGTATCTGACGACTTGTTATCAATAGCCTAGGTCAGTGTGTCGCGCAACCCTAGCCTGTCGGTACCCCCAGCCCCACTCACTAACCCCTCCCCCTGTGTCAACAGCTGAACACAGAGTGGGCCCAGGTGGAGGTCATTGACCTGGTCAACGACGGCACCGGCCTGGGCTTCGGCATCATCGGCGGCAGGTCGACGGGCGTGGTGGTCAAGACCATCCTGCCCGGTGGCGTGGCCGATCGGGTGAGAACTGAGTGTGGAAGGTCGTGGATCAGGAGATATATCTGTGTTGAAGATAGGGGTGTGTGTGAGTAGTAGATGGGGAGTTTATGTTGTCGACTCATTTTGAGCAGAGGAGAATATAAGGCGGCTCTTAATAAAGTTATGCGAAGAGTTGTGTTATGCACTAAAATTGCTGAGGACTACTAATAGGACTAATTAGTGTGCAAAAGCTTGTTGTTGAGCCATTAGGTAGGTGTGCTTAGGTTGTTAGCCTAGGTAATAGCGAGATTGAAAGCGGTCCCGTTGAGTGCTGCGAAGTTCCATTCAGTTCAGTCTCCTGTGCGTGAGGCTGTTATACGGATGATCGGTCAACTGCGGCCCAATCACCCTATCCTTGGCCTGGTTACACTTTCGTTAGTTTCAGTAATAGCTGGGAATCTTTACCGTATTTGATGATTTTCCCGTTCAGTGCTTCGGTCCGTAGTCCGCTGAGCCCACTGTTTGCGCTCTGATGTCAGTGTTAGATTGCTGGACAAGTCGAGCCGTGGCTCAACGCGGCATTGGTGTTTGTCCTCCACTTTAAGGCTGCCCCACACTGGAACTCGCATGCGGGTTGCGAGTTTGCGGGTTTTGAGTTTGCGGGCATGCTACTAATTAATAGAGTGATTAGACCGCTCACTTACGGTAATTTCATGAATGCAGTGAAGCCGGTACACCTTCAGAAACTTACATATAGTCGCAATACCAGCGCAAATAACAAAAATTCGACTCCAACGAAAACCCCGCAAACCTCGCAGAACTCGCAGACCTCGCAGCGAGGAAAATCGAAAGTTGACTCAAAATCAACTTTTGGAATGCGATGCAAGGTCGCTCGCAAGCTAAAAACATGCAGACTCGCTTGTTAGATGGTAGAATGGGCCATTCAGCTTAGATTGTATGATCTGATTTTTAAGAAACCCGAAAACCCAAAAACTCGCAACCCGCATGCGAGGTCCAGTGTGGGGCGGCCTGTAATGTTTTCCTACTGGGCTCTTAAACCAGACAAGGGTAAATATGATTTGAAATTTAGTCTTTCGGTAATTTATTATATTTTAAAATGAAATAACTATTTTGTTATGTGCTGGAGAGCCTGTGCTGTTAATTGTAGTCCGACTTTGTACATAAATGATTGACTCGCGTTCGTTCCTGTGCATAGGATGGCCGTCTTGTTTCCACTGATGACTAGCTCGTGCCTCTTTCTGTGCGCAGGATGGTCGCCTACAGAGCGGTGATCATATTCTACAGATTGGCGAGCACAACCTGCGGGGAATGGAGTCCGTACAGGTACGCTCAGTCCGGCTGGATATATCTCTATGTGAAAATAGAATAGGTCACTCTCTGTGACTAGTTTGTTTCCTGGCTCGCCTCGTTCCCCCTTTGGAATGTTGTGTGTTCGTGGACATTTAAGAAATTATATTTAATGCTGCGGAGATACACCGTGCTGCCTTCAATGTCCACAGTCCAGTTTGCATCAACGTTACATTTTTTCTGTGTCGACACAGGAAGTTAAGACTCCTGTCCTGTTTCCATCCTAGGGCCGGACTACTAACAGTATGTTTTTGTGCCGTTAGGTGGCGCAGGTGCTGCGGACAGCCGGTACCCAGGTGCGGCTGATCGTGGCCCGGCCTATGGAAACCAGCAGTCCAGAGTTCCAGATGGCGGTGAGTAGTTACGAAAAATGCGGGTATACGTCTCTTCAGACGAGATTTTGTTGGTGCTGGGAAGTTGACTTTTTCTGTCAGTTGTTTATTTTTCTTGTTTTTCATCATTTTTATATCTCTAACTCACATCAATTGGTTTTATTGTAAACTTTCAGAATCTTCCACCGTCAATTGTGCAATAAAGTAATAAATAAAACAGAGCCGAATCATGTCAAAATGTGGATTATATATAGCTAATCGGCCATCTCTCCGACAGAATTCGATGATCACTCGGGCGCAGATCGTGTCGACTCGTCTGCTGGCGGATCCTGAACAGCTGGACCATCAGCTGCAGATCATGCAGGTAAACGGTTATTTTTTATGATAGGTGTGCGTTGGTGAATTCATAACTCATTATCACTAGGCTTTTGGTTCTTACCCTCCCGAGGTGCTCAGAACAAAAGCGAATCTAGCAGTGCCAATTCAAATGTGCAGCTGTTTTCTGCTTGCTGCTTCATCGGTTTCACTGCTAAAAACTGCGATACAAGGTGCTCTATGAGTACTCGCCATAAATAACATCTGCCCTTGCCGTGCCAATCGTCCTCCCTTCCCAAACCTCTTCACCTGCCGACTTCACATCGAACCGGCCGGTGACAACGTCGGTCTTGTTATTTGCTAGTGCGCCGGGGATCTCGCGAGCGAGATTGAGCCAGACATGTGCTCGCTCGCTGCATTACCGGCCAATGTATCCGCGACGTGCTTTGCATGTGATGATAGCCGTTTTACCTCGGATCAGGCAATGTTTTAAAAGAAAGGTGTCTTCTGTTTGGTCCCTTATTCTCTTTGATTCTGACGTGTAAGTTTTATAACTATTCAATGATGACTTTTGAAATGACGATGAGTTTCAATGTCACTTTATGCGCATTGCTGGAATGCAATTACTGCTTCTTGCTTACCAGTTCTTTTGTCTCCTGTAGCTCATCCAATTCTAGCATCATTGCAGTTTTGCACTCACCGTGGAATATTAATTCTACAGTGGTGGAAAACAACGATATTTACTATTATAGCATGACATTTCCCCGCGCCGCTCCACAGAACGGGTTTCCCGAGCCGTACACTCACGATCTGTCGGCGGAGCACAACGACATCGTCAACGGAATGATGATGCCAGAGTACAACGGAGTCGGCTCGCTCAACCAGGTAAGACGCTGGGCGCACACTACACGGTGAGATCTTGGACATTACGATCTTAAACACCAAAAAAGAAAGTCACTACGCTATCAGAGTAGTTGGTGCTGAACGATGGAAGAGTGTTGGGAGGGAGCCGGAGGAGTGTAAGACGGATTCTGAGTTTAATACATAGGATCGGTAAGTGCAGGAGATAGAGAATGAAGACTTAGAGGCACGTTGCAGCCTTGTGAAAAGGCGTGATGGAACATGAGCTGTGGGACTTGAATTTAGATTGCGTCTTAGCTAAACGGGGTAGATAAATCGACTACAAAATATAGTATTCAAGCCGTCCTCGCTTATCAGCAGATAAGGAGTCATATATTCGTCGCCCCTTAAAGAGTCCATTCAAGAGCGCCTGGCAACAGTGTGAAGCGCCAGCTGTTGGGGCGAGGGCAGGGAGGGCAGTATCTGTGTGCTTGTACAGCTGCCGGTGTTGCGATATCCCTCCCCTGCCCGTCCCCGCGCTGGACTAATAACCTGACCGGGAGGACGGTGATAGGAGGTGGTGTCTCCAGGGATAGCGAGGGAAGAGCCAGATACTGCTGATACGGTGTGCGTTGTGCGTAAATTTAGATGCACACGGGAAGGTATGGGGGCCTACAAGTCAGCTCAGGATCAGCATGTTTTAAATTTTGCGGAATAGGGTAGAGTGGAGGATGAGCCTGCCTGCAAAGCTGTTGCAATTTTTTTTTTTTTAAAGAAGTCGACCAGAGTTGGTGACATTCACATTACACGGACTCCCACTAACTAATCCACCAAACACTGATCAAAAAGGAGTATCACGAAGTCCACGATTACCTATCGCTCTTGCTATTCTTTTGTCTTATATCTCCATCTCCCCCCCCCCCCACCCCCACCCACCCCACCAACGGGGTCCGTCGTGTCCGCCGCCCTAACCCCTTCCCCTCTCTCTCCCTGCTGCTGAGCCGTCGCCTCCTCACTCTAATCCTCCCCCTCTCTCCCTCCAGCCGCTGGGCCCGTCGCCGCCGTCGTCTCTCCACCTGCTCCCCGACACGGAGACCGCCGAGGTCGAGCTGATTAAGGACGCCGCCGGGCTCGGCGTCACCATCGCCGGGTACGTCTGCGAACGGGAGGAGCTGAGCGGCATCTTCATCAAGTCGGTGAACCCCGGCAGCGCGGCGGATCTCAGTGGGAAGATCGCCATCAATGATCAGATCATTGAGGTGAGTGGGAAGGGTGACTTTGGGTATGAGTGATGCTAGCTGAGTGTGCTGAGATTTTATCATCCATGAGCTGGGATGCTACAGGCATTGCAATTGTTATGTTAAGATTTTCACATTTTCATAGAAATCAAAAGCAAATGTTTTGTAGATAAGTGATCAAGCTGAGTGCTAACTTTGCGTGTTGATTTCCATTATGATCACCTTGTTTCGCTACCTTGTTTCGCACATGTGGTCTTTTGGAGGTGTCTATATAAGAGCTTTTGGAGGCAATGAACTTTTATGTGATGAAGTGAATGACGGGCTATTGTATTTTATAAGTGGCTGTAGTGACAGCAGGCACCAAATCATAAAACATCTACTTGAGTCACGCTACTACCACCGTCTCTAACCACGCTCCCTCTCTCTACCTCTCTGTGCTCTCCCCAGGTGGACGGCACTCCACTACAGGGCTATTCCAACCACGAGGCCGTTGAGCTCCTCAAAAACACGGGTCAGGTCGTGCGTCTGAAACTGGCCAGGTATGTCTCTGGACCCAAGTACGACCAGCTCAAGCAGGCTATCGCTCGGACTGAGATGGCCTCACCGGGCGGGCCGGCGGCGGCGACGGCGGCGGCGGGGGCGGCGCCGCCCGAGCCGCCCGCCCGGCCCTCACTGCACGGCAGACAGGTCAGTGAAACTGTGAGGTTTAGATGCGGACGTGGGATGGGGATAGATGGACTTTTTTCGGGGATAGGGTAAGGGAGGATGCGATTTGTAAAATGCCTGGCAAAGGAGAAGCGGTTCCGATTGGGCGTGTTTTTATTGGTTGCTTGTATTTGCTCAGAGCGTAATATGCTAGGTATTGTGCGGGGTGATTATGTTTTATTTGTTCGTCGGACAGTCTATCCCTTTGTATGTTTTTGTTGGCTGTGTCCGTCTGTCTGCCTACTTGCACTGCCGGCATGCCTTGACTGATCCCCTCCGATGTAGTCCTCTTTGTTCTGACCTGCTGTCCCGTACCCTCAGCCGTCGTGGTCCCCGGAGGGTCCGTCGCTGCCGACCTCGCACGTACCGACCAGCCACATCTCGCCTGAACACGACCGATGGGACTCTGCCAATATGCAGGTGGGTGAAAGTAGCTGATTCCGTCACTGAAGCTCCAGCTAGCGCTCTCTCGCTTTTCCTCTTTTGGCCCTAGATAGCATGCGAATTGATTTTGTTGTCGGGAATTGTATCTTACCCTGGGCAATAAAATTATGTAGCATGTAATTCGGACATTGTTTAGTTTTTGATTGCTCCAATTCCAAATAATGTAAGCTCATGGTTTTGGCAATCAAGCACATCCCGTTGCCGTATAATTGCCATGCCCTGACTTCGTGGAACACCCAATGAGTTACTGTACATCATAAAGGCCTCACGCTACCCTCCCCTTTCCTCTCCACAGTGGATAGACGCCGAGACGAGTGCCGCCAGCGGTGTGTCGCCCACCCTGGAGACGGACTACAACACGCTCCCGGCCGACGACTACCGCGGCCCCGTGCCGCCCGAAATCGAGGAGGTTATCCAGAAACAGTGGATCGGGCTGCTCGGTGACGGCTACGATATTGTGGTGAGTGAGTTGGATGAAATGGGCAGGGGCATAGGGACTTAGAAGTTTTTTGGGCGGGTGATTGTCACCTTTGAGAGCTGACCATTATTTGATGGTTGTGGCTTGGAGTCTTGAGTGGATGTGTTTTACATATTTTTTGTTTTGTTTTTTACTTTCCCCTAGCCATAGACCTCTGCCCTAGCCTGTTCATTCGTTTCAGCAAATCACATGTTCAATTTAGGAGCGATGTTCGTATTTACAAATACCTCATTGACATCAATCTTATTCTTATAGCCCTCAAGCTGTTCTCGCATACCGCTCTGTTTTTCCCTAGCTATATCTCACGTGTCTTGCAATCTCCTGACCCTGACACCACCCCCCTCCTCCATCCCCAGGTGGCCCAGATCAGCAAGTTCCACCCGGGCGGCGGTCTCGGGGTCAGTCTGGAGGGCACCGTCGATGTCGAGGACGGCAGAGAGGTGCGGCCCAGGCACTACATCCGCTCCATACTGGCCGACGGGCCGGTGGGGCTCAACGGACGACTGCAGAGCGGAGACGAGCTGCTCGAGGTGGGTAGAGGGGAAGTGGCAGGCGGAAGGCTCGGGTAGTGGGAATGTAAGGTGGAGTTGTGTGAACTGTGGGGTGTGTGACTGGAGTTCATTACGGAGAAGAGAAGATCAGTGATATGATAAGCATGATTGGGTTAGTTCTTGAATCGCACGATATTGAGATGTTTCACAAAGGAGCACGGTCAAGCAAGTAGCGAATTGCTGTCTGGTGTCGCATACAGTCACTCGTAGGGTTTTACCAAATACGGTTCCTCAGCAAGAAAACTTAAAGCTGGTGACCTGGTGGCTGTGTTGGTTGACATATAAATTTTACCCTTTATACAACGCTGTTGCATTCCACCGACTTCATATCACCCTTACCACCCTAGCTCCCACCCAACCACACCTAATCACCCCTGCCTGATGCCTCGCCCTCCGCAGGTGAACGTCCGTCCGCTGGTCGGTCTGAACCACATGGAGGTGGTGTCCGTACTGAAGGAGCTGTAACGTCCCCCCCCCCTCCCTCAGGTGAACGGCCGTCCGCTGGTCAGTCTGAACCACATGGAGGTGGTATCCGTACTGAAGGAACTGCCCACAGACGTGCGGCTGGTCTGCGCCAGGGCCTGGCGGCCGCCTGGCATGGATATCCTCAGCTCACACCTGGAACACATGGCCGGCAGTGACCCCATACTGGTGAGCTCATCGCAGGTTGTGGATGGGTGGAAGCTGGCGTGGTTGGAGGTGGCTTGCTGAGGCATTTAGAAGGGTTTCTTGTAACCTGGTTTTTAATGGCGGCGGATTCATGCTTGAGAGAACTGTCCTTTACTGAAAGGGATTATTTTTCTCAGTTCCACGGATGCTGCATAACCTGGTTATTATGTCCGGCTTTCGACTGGTGTTCATAATAGCAAAAGATGTTAAAATGGCGCTGCGTGACAGATTTTTATTGGCATTTGCGTGGTTTTGGGCTTGGGAAGTCGGAAAATAAGCCCATTCACAGAAACAACACTGTGCTACATATTTGCTTCGTCTCTAGCTTCTGCTTCCCTGTCTCAACTGACCCACCCTCGTTTCACCCACAGGGCCGTCTGGGCGGAGTACCTGAATCGGGCGGCTACTCCTCCGACCGTTTGCTCAAGGCCAAATCGGACAGCTCCCTGACCTCCAGCGGCGCCTCGGTCTCCGTCACTGACACGAGCCAGTCGCGTCTGAGGTCGCGCAGCCTGGAGCCGCTCTCTGGACTGGCCATGTGGGCCGCCGAGCCGACCATTGTGACCCTGGAGAAGGGGGAGAGGGGACTGGGCTTCTCCATTCTGGATTATCAGGTGCGTTGGAGTGAGTGAGTGAGTGAGTGAGTGAGTGAGTGAGTGAGTGAGTGAGTGAGTGAGTGAGTGAGTGAGTGAGTGAGTGAGTGAGTGAGTGAGTGAGTGAGTGAGTGAGTGAGTGAGTGAGTGAGTGAGTGAGTGAGTGAGTGAGTGAGTGAGGAAATGGAAAGAGGGATGGAAGAAAGGAAAAGAAGCATAGACGCGGTAGGAGATGTTCTTTCAGAATCTAACCGTGTTCTGTTCGTTCTCTTCTTTCGAAAGCCACTTCTATTCGCAGCGTTGTACCCGAGACGCACTAAACCTTCATCACCTCTCATTTCTTCCCTGCTCTCCCCCACAGGACCCGATGAACCCGAACGACACGGTGATTGTGATCCGCTCGCTGGTTCCGGGCGGCGCGGCGCAGCTCGACGGCCGCCTCATCCCCGGCGACCGGCTGATGGCCGTCAACGCCGTCCACCTGGAGAACGCCTCGCTGGACGAGGCCGTGCAGGCGCTCAAGGGCGCGCCGGCCGGCCCCGTGCGGCTGGCCGTGGCCAAGCCGCTGCCGCTAGCGGCCGACAGCGGAGGCAGCCAGGTCAGTGCCGGCAGCGGCGAGCTCGGCAGACACGTGTTCAAGGCGGAGAGCTTCTGACAGGACGGGCAGAGGGTGGGAGCGGGAGGAGAGAGTGACGGAGAACGTGGGTAGGCCTGGCTGGACGCAGCTGTGCTTTATTATCGGCGACGCCTCTGGAGACTAGTCATGTGGATGCTGCCGCTCAAGAAAAACCAACCGAGTGCCTAGACGGATCAGTAGTGAGGTATTTTTAACAGCCCTGTTCAGAGACTCTATGTCGTCTTCAGAGGACACTCGTGCGTTCCCTCAAACCATGGTTGTAATTTAGATATTCTATCGGCGCAGTGTTTGATTGGTCAGAATTATCTGACGTGTGGAGAGTGTTTGCTGCCATTACTAACCCGCTCAGGTGTGTGTGACTAACCTTACAGCTTCGTACCTCTGTTGAGGCGTCCGGGTGGGCCATGAGATGGCGGTCACTAATTTAACCTTCCGTGGGGGTGTGTTCCAATTTCCTGTCTGATTGATGCACTCTCATTCTCCTTTACCACGCTCATTGCGTGTTTATGATACACCAGGGACCAATAGTAGCTTCATATGATGCCACGGGGCTCGTTTTCTGAGCCGAGGTGTCTGGAGAGATGGGAGAGGGGTTCACTTTTACTTCACGCCCCTACCCCTACCACCGTCGCCACTTCTAACCACTGATCTTTCCCCGGCACTTCCGCAATAACCAGTACCACCACTCATCTCTGGTTGGATATTCGATAAACCAGAGTATATTCTATGCTAATTCATATGATCACTTCACGTCAAACTGACCGCATGTTAGTGGCATGCTGCTTGCTGCCCCGCTTCAGTCATTAGCCCGGCATGTTGTCATCTGACTGAGATTCTATCAGCCCCGCACGACGCATGCTCGCTCGTCATTCCCATTGAATGCGTGCCTGGCATCTTGCGATGCATGTTTCTCGTTTGCATCATTCAAGTCCGCGACCCTTTGGCCTGCCGGACTAGCCATCAAGTGCGTTCCGAGCATAATGCAACTCAGCGCCGCGTACGACCGCTAGTGTTGCTACTGCAGCGCTCTGCCGGCCCGCGTGTTGTGTATAGGTGACTGCGTATATTGCTGTATAGTGTAGCTGAGCTCCTGGCGTCGCCTCGCTCCGCTGCCGCGTGCCGCCGTGCCTGCGGCCCCTGCTGCCGGTGCCGCTGCCGTTGAAGCTGATGGAGAGCATGTGGAACGTGTTGACGAAACGGAGAGATGTCGCACGTTCGTCTGTTGGTCTGTCCCTGAGGAGTTGTGTCAATATACACCAAGTATCGCGGATGTGCGTTTGTGGGCGGCGTTGTTCGGTGTTGTCTGTGATCGGTGCATGGCTCATAGAAGGAGGAGGGAAGGAACGAGTGAAGATGGAGAGATGAGACTCGGTCACCGGAGCAGGCACACCGCAGATGCAGGTAATATATTTAAACGGACATTAGATGACGCTTGGCTTCATATTTAGGCCATATTAACTTTACTTATTCACTTCACAAGCACACATACGAGTACACTCGTGAAACTATTTAGGGAAGTTTAGACATTTTAAATCTTAATGAATTGCAAGGTCAGAGACAAAGCTGTGTTGCGTAATGCGTTGAATCCTAAAGCCGCTAATCACACGTATTTCGACCGCTGAAAGCTACATACATCGCCCTGTTTGACCGCCATGGACCGTTAGGACAGGCAGAACGAAGGTGAAGTAGCATGCCATATCGATGTTGTCTAGATGAGTCGCTGGATGTTCAGTTTGTTTCGAAGACACACAACACCGAACCTCAGCATAGTTTTCTAACACATTTCCCCGAAGTAAGGTATGTGGTGGCTTCTCTACAAAGGCCTATACGTAATGCTAAAAAACATGACCCACAAAACGAACATTTACAAGTGGTCAGTGGATCCCATCTCTGGTATCCGCGCCGCTTCTTTGCCACATGCCGAAACCCATGGATACCTTGTCCTCTTCTCGATTCAACTAACAGAACTAGTCCCCCAATTGGGACCTTTCATAACAGTCATGCCGTTTCGTTAGGGCCTGACGTCTAGCGAAGAGTCCGAATCTGAAGAGGAGTCTGAGGAGGAGGAATCTTCCGATAGCGACGGATCTCAGCACAGACACCTGGCGGACACTCAGGTAACTAGTGGTTTCCAAAGTCACCACTGCAGTATCGGGATAGCTTGCAGTGTTTCTAGCATCTTTCTCTGGAAATATCGCCAAAGAAGCCCATTGTGCTCGAATGCCTTAAAAATAAAGCTTCTGACCACTGCTACTCAGACGCATAATCGCTTTCTCTGGAAATATCGCCAAAGAAGCCCATTGTGCTCGAATGCCTTAAAAATAAAGCTTCTGACCACTGCTACTCAGACGCATAATCGAACCACAATTAACGTGTCACAGATTCCGAAAAAGGTCTCTCCTCTGGCGGCCTGTGAACCTCCACGACCGAAATTACGTCGGGTTCTGACGAGCAGGGTTGTGCTTGACTCATGAGTCGAGTCAGAAATTTGACTCAACTCTGACTCAAATTAGTCAGATTTGAGTCGAGTCGGATAAAATGTTGAGCTGTTGAGTTGAGTCAGAGTTGAGTCGGACAAAAATATTAAGGCGTTGAGTTGAGTCAGAGTTGAGTCAGCAAAATAGCTTTTGACATTGAGTTGAGTCAAACATTTAAAAACACGAGTCAGCTGACTCAACTTTCCAGAAACAGTATATATATATATATATATATATATATATATATATATATATATATATATATATATATATATATATATATATATATATATATATATATATATATATATTCTTAGTCCTGGCTTTGCTGCCAGATTTTTTCACCTCCCCCGCTCAACAACTTAAGTCAATTTTGAGTCAACTCACTTGACTCAACAAAAGATTTGAGTCAAGTTTGAGACGACTCATATTTTCATCGAGCCGCTTGAGTCATGAGTCGAGTCAAGGGAAAAAATCAGTTCCTTGTTTGAGTCAGAGTTGAGTCAGGGCTTTTTGAAGTTGAATGATGAGTTGAGTCGGCACATTTTTTTGAGTCGAGCACAACCCTGCTGACGAGTCCTGTTTTACTCCACCAGCTCGACTCGCAGCTGCCTCTGGGGTGCCGGGAGCGTCTGCTCCACTCCAACACCTCCCTGGCTACCTCCCCATCGCCTCCGCCCTCTCGGCGACGGTCCAAGAAGGGTGGGGCGTCGGCTGGCTTTCGTGGGAGACGCTACAGTGGCGCCGCCAACCGGCAACAGGAGGAAACAACGCTGGACGAGACGGTGTCGAGTCCAGTTGAACCAGTAGAGATGAAAGGTGAGTAGCTTGTTGAGTGGTGGACATGATACGATTTCCGGCCCAGCTACGGACGCTAAACGCGATTTTCTATGCGTGTGAAGATGTCACACCGCAATGGTTACTTATTTTCACTCAGAAAGTAGTATGGCTATCAATATATTGTTGATTCATTTATAACTCTAATCCTGTGATGAAAACCATGCTAGGCTCAAGGAGCCATTATTAGCTATGATTAACTGCTGACTGTGTTCGACAGATGAGGCGGTTTCTGCGGAGAGCATCGACTATGGAGGAAGTCTGGAGTCTGGTGAGACCCTGGAGATTCACCTGCCTGAGGCGCCGGCGCCGGTTCCGGAATCTCCCCGGATCCCCGGAGAGAACTCTTCGGAGAAGACGGAGTGCCCTTCCACGTCTCCAGCCGAACCCGACGATGAGCGAGTCCGACATACGAAGCCCGAGGCGCGTCCGTCTGCGCCGACCACTGAGTCTACCGCCACACAAACCTTCGTGACGGGCAGGATGCCTTCAGGTGTGACGATGGACGCGACTTGTGCGACATCGCGAGAGGAAGTAGAGCGTCAGCTTTTGGAGCGACAGCAGCAGCGTCTGTCCTCCGACAGGTCGTCCTCAACTTCTTCATATTCCTCGTCGTATTCAGCCTCTGGGTCCTCTTCACGACATTCCTCGGACATCACTAGCTCAAATGTGTCCTCGACGAGAGAACAGAACCAAGTGCCGGCTCAAGATGGGGTGACATCGGTGACATATGATGACAGTGATAGGAACTCGAACGTGGCCAATGCCGTGGACGGCTCATCACGACTAAATGAAAGCAGTGATTGCATGAATACCACGGGAGACTTGTTAGGTGAGGTGGAAGTGCATGAAAACTGTGGAGAAGTTACGGAAGAAAGTGATAAACATGTGGAGATGGCGCCTCAGTCCACCGGTGATGACACAGGACCAGGCAGTGGTCAAACAGAACAGCAGCAACCCCACAGCAGCGTCCCCCGAGATCCTCCAGATGGACAACAGAGTCTGCCCGAGTCTGAGATTAAAGAGGTGAGTTTGAAATACAACAACCGTCCTCTCTATCCTCAGGATATTCACATCCTTCTCCTCCACGCCTCAACCGGCCTGTTCTGGGCTGGACGGGCAACTTTATCCCGTGCGATCTTCCCTAGGAGCAGGCCCGTAGCCGGGTGCGGTGAGTGTTTGGGAAATGGGTGGCCTGTCCACTGGATGGGCTCAGTCCCGGGTACTCTAGGGTGCCCGCCCTGACCAATGTCTCCCCCTAATTCCTATCATCCTCCCGTCTCTGAAATGGTCTCAATGGACCGAAAGGGCCTAACCCATCAAAACAAAATAAAACAAAGCCGAAATTGATATCGATTGACTACTCCTTTAACTACTTGGCCTCCAGATATCTAGTGTCTATGAAATACGAAGAAGACATTCACACTGATAATCCCCTACAAGTTTGGTTTAGGGTAAATAATGTGGTTGTAGTTTCCTTCGCGTGCAAGATGTGCACTGTGCAGCCTATACGATCGAAAAGCGTAATTATATGAGAAAAGATGCTGAATCAACATCAGTTCCCTCTTGATTCACAGGCTCAGTATAAACGCTATCATCGCTTTATCTATGCGCTTGGGTGGCTGTGTTTTGTGACTCCAACCGCTTGCCCTCTCACTGCTGGGAACTATTTTCAGGTTCCTGTCTCATCGTTGCCATTGGCTCAGTGAGGGCTTCATCGTTCCGGCCTGTCAGTCGTCACGGGACCAGACAGGTGAAATAACACGACCAATCAAGAGGCCTCTGTCGAAGGTATACAAATACCTGCCGAGTCTACTAAAGGCCATTCAGAGCAGTTATCCAGACACTTGACCCAGCGGCTGCGTCCTCCGGAACGGCGCTGCAGTGGACAATTGTACAAACTGTGTTTCAGGATTTGCCCGACAGATGGCAGTGAGACTAGTGATGGACAGTGGGGCATGCTCTCTCCTTTGAGCAGTCTGATAACGCGAAGTGTACTCAACTATGACCAGATATATAGGAGTGCTGAAGTCATTGTTATGCTGATGAAAACTTTGTGCAATAAATTTGCTAGAAATTATACGATACCGACAGTTGTGACTGGTGCCTCTAGTGTTTTAGCTCCTTTGTGAAAGAAATCGTAAGCGCGAGCACATGAGCAAGACGGCACCGTTCCGTGCTTCTATCCTCAGGATACCGAAATCCTTCTCCACGCCACAACCCCCCTCCGGGCTGGACAGGCAACTTTATCTCATGCGGGCTGCTCCCTTGGAGCGGCCCCGCTGCTCCCGAGGGAGCGCACCCCGTAGCCGGGTGCAGTAAGTACAGCCCACCGCTAAAGTAATGTAGGGTTTTACCAATCTCAACGGTTGGCTTTGACTGGCGATTGTTTAATGCGGAGTGATCGAAAAGAAGATGTCAATAGCTAAAGTTGCAGCTGCAAGGGTGACGATACATATAAGCTACATTCAAAGTTTCATTGTAGTCTGGCTAATCGTTCCTAAGCTTCAGAAGCAGAACATACCCATGACTGAAACCCCACATTACTTCTGCTGTGGACTGTACCTTGGGGCTGGGTGGCCTGTCCTCTGGACGGGCTCAGCCCCGGTGACTCACTAGGGTGCCTGCCCAGACCAATGTCTCCCCCTATATCCTATCATCCTCCCGGCTCTGAAATGGTCCCATTGGACCGAAAGGGCCTAACCCAACAAAACAAACAAACAAACAAACAGCAGGACGGGCACTGGGCAGGCTGATAAAAACCAGGTTACTTGCCTGTCCATAGCACGTTCTGCGGAAAGTGAGACTGTTAACCCGCGCACCGACGGAGGTCCGCGCCAACTTAGAACCGACGGGGGAGGATATTCCCCCCCCCCCCCTGAGATCTCGAGAACGAACGAAGATAGCGACAAGCGGTAAGCGGCATGGGGTGCACACGGACAAGGTCTACAAGCTTACTGAGGTCATATTCAGGTCAGGTCAAAGATGACGTCACAGAGGTAAGAAAGTCAAAATAGCTGCGCTATACATGAAGAGTTTTTCTCGAACAACTTTCGAAGTAGCCAAGCAAGGAACAAACGAATAGCACGATCGTGAATCGTGATCCTCTCGTCGATCCTCATCGAAATACATATGTTGACCTCGAAAGGTTAAGGTGAAAGGATGACCTCAGGTCATCATGTATACCATTCGATGCGCCTTGACGAGCTGAACACAATGAGACCATCCGCGCGGCTGTATCTCGTGCCTGTTAGGAGTTATCAGCAAAACACCTTTGGTGACCTTTGTTTGATAACGTCACATGACCTCACAGTTACCCAAGGGCGAAAAAGGCTCCAAGGTAGTCAAGGTTGATCGTATATGAAGTCATTAATGGTAGGCCATTCCGATGCGTTTTAGTGGGCCATTCTGACGCGTTTTAGTGGAAAAGACAATTGATTTTCCCAATGATTTATAACATGGGGAGGTCAAGAAATTGACCTTACCTTAGGTCATCGGTATAAAAATTCCGAGATATAAAACTTATAGCTTCCAATGACCTCATTACCTCCTGCAACTTTCACAGAACTCCGTCATCCACTGTAGCTCTGACACGGCCACAAAGTTGCAAAAAAAGTAATTTGATGTCGGGTCATTCGAAGTGACCTGGTGAGTTGACCAAGGTAGGAGGTTCAAACTTGCACTCAGTGTGTAAAATTGGTGGGGAATAGACTAGTCATGCCAATTTTCGCGCGCTACGCGCCACAGTTTTCCCACTATTTACGAAAAACCTCAGGGGGTGGATATCCGCCCCGCGCCCCCGTCGGTGCGCTGAACACAGAGCTCCCGTAATGAGTAGGCATAAGATATGCTACAGGGTGTTTCACAATAAACGCAACTTTTGAAAAGCTTAAATGAAGATCTTACTTGTTCGTAAGCGCGTAAATTTTATATGCATTTTGTTGCAAATTTGTTGCGGTTTTTAGTCCTTATATTTTTTTTACAAGCCATCAACGGTTCCATCTGTATGGACGTGCAATGCCAACACCGTCAAAACGGGTCAATTCGCCGTGTACAGATGATGAGGCGGTATGGGTGGTCATGCATTACGGCGCTTTGCGAAGTCTGACCGCAGTGCGACGGAGTTTCGGTAGCCATTTTAAAATAGGAGGAAGGATATTCCGTCAAAAATGTCTTTCAAACGGGTGATAGAAAGGTTCCAGAAGACTAGAAACACGAGACCAGCCCCGCCTCCTGGCCGGACGGCGATCCCAGAAAATCTGATTGAAAAAGTCAGACGGAAGGGTGCATAGTGGTGGAGAACCTGTGAAGGGCGCTGAACTGAAAGTTATATGTTCATCAGTCCTACTGTTCTGCTGTCTCATGTGGTAATACCTACTCATGAGCCATATGTAATACATGTCACTGAAACATCGTCGTTTGAAAAGCAACATTCATTGTAAAGGACCATGAAGCTTAACAGCGAATTGACCCGTTTTGATGGTGTGGACATTGCACGTACATAAAGAATGCAGTTGATGATTCGTCATAGTTTTTGTAAGGATAAAAAATCCAAAAGAATTTGCAACAAAATGAATATAGAATTTATGGGCATACGAATACTTGAGGTCATTTTAAAAGCTTATCAAAAGTAACGTTTATTGTGAAACACCCTGTACAACCTACACAAACAGGCGCTCGTCATGAGGGAAAACATTTTTTTAATAGTTCCTAGCATTCAGTCCCGTTTATGTCTACGAACGCAAACATTCTACGATCTGCTGCATGGAGAGTGGAGAAGGAGGAATTTCGAAGCCTCCGCTGTTGACTCGGGATTTGATTGTTGCAGTTGGTTTATGCAGCGCACTGCAGTGTGGTCGGCTCGGGTTATCTTAATAAATGCCTCCTTCCCTGACAGGTAGATCATTTTCTAGAAGACCACCCGACTGGTCATCATTTGGCTCACTAAATAGGTAGTCGGGATAGAAACGGGCACCGGTATCCGCCTAGCCACTAGCCCGTTTACCTTAACCCTCGCCGGCCTAGGGGAAGGGGCGGGCCCGCCATAAGGTTATTTTTTCGTGATAGCTCAGAACATGCTGACAGGATAGAGGGCTGAAACTTAGCATACCTGACCTTTGCTTCAAGCCGGATCTTTTGACACCAACCGAGTTTCAAGTCAGGCAAGTCACTGGCCTATGACGTCATAAGTGAGCCTATGACGATCACACAAATGTAAACAACTGGATCATATAGCTGCCATGTACTCGTCTTACGATAGTCGATATAGTCAGCCCTGAAGTTACCCTACTGAATGAACGGCTCAGGCGGATCGAGCAGAGCGACTCTACCCAGAAGTTCGATACATTTTGGCTGAATCGCGGGACCCTGGGCGGTACCTTTGAAGCTGAAGACAAATTCTTCGAACAGGCAATTAAATCGTTGATTTCGAAACGATGAACCGAATTACGATGTAACCTGAGGCAATGCGGCAGGTTTCTGTCCACTTGAAAAGAATTACTATTCAATTACGGCCGATCGAGAAGCGCCACTGAACGCAATTAAGCTGTCTCATTTTCTCGTAACTGAAGTTTAAACTCGTACAAGTTTAGGCCGGCACGGGAGCGAGAGGGTGAACACTCGCTGTAAATGCGGAGAGTTCGCCGGCGAGCCGAGCCATTCTGCGCAGAAATTCCGAATGAACGTCCACGTTTACGATAACGTTGTACGACTCCAATCGCCTGCTCCCGACTAGATTCTCACAGGCATAAATTACCTAAGTGAGTGCAAGTCCGAAAATGGAAACGCTAATGCCCTCTAACCTTTCCGAGCCTAGCAACAGCTAAAGTTCGTAGACCTGATATTGGAGAGCTGCCCTCGTCCAACCAGGCAACCGTCTTGGAGCGGTCAACATAACCAGTAACCTATATAGCTGGTGACGTGAATAAATGAGCGCTGGCATGGAACCAGCTGTCGCCTGTCCTCTCTCCTGGAAAATCAATCCTCTGCGCATACTCGCAATCTTGCTGACAGGCTCAGTACCGCTCGTAACTGTAGCGTATAGCGCTCGGCTCGGGCCACCGCTGCAGCCGTCGTTCTCGGCGGAATTTCACATGGGACAGTATTGGACCGCAGCGTGTAATGGTAGCGGTGGGCCGCTGCCCACGGCTCTGAATATACATGAACGGTGTACCGGCGGTCCCGGTGTAAGAGCCAGCTGTGCCCCCATCCCGGCGGGGACCCTGGGGAGGGCAGGTCCGCAGGCAGTGGCAGGAGAGGGGCGATCAGATGGTGGGAAGGCGCAGGGTGAAATATGGACATTGGTGACCGGTAGCTGTTTTCTACTGATGAATGAACTACGCCTCAAGCCCAGTTCCCTATTCCCCTATTTTTCCCAATTCAACTAAAATGTCAATAATGTTTGTTATGCATTACCGCGTGTGACGTGTGTGATGGGTGTGTTCTAGGCGATGTGTAACGGTATTCAGCGAGCGACAGGCATGTATTCAATAGCATACCTACCCATAATATACTCCCGGCTTCACTTAAGCACTTCTATCGTATGCTCTCCTTCAATAAGACACCTTTTGATGACTGCTATAAGACCTTTATCGATCAGGCGGGTATCCGCCAATTTGGTCATCGACCGTCGTCCGCGGTCACTTCAGTGACTTCCTATACCGTCGGCCTGCACATTGTGCTTTGAGAAAGGTCGCCGTAGCTCAGAGACCACGTTCATTATATCTGGCGGTCATGACTCGGCTCAGACCTCGGCTCCTCAGCTCAGTTTGAAGACTCACGGCCGGCCCAAATCGGACCAATTATCAGCGCTGATGGAAAACAGCCGTCCGCTGACCTTTGGGCACTTTCTCAGTGGACGACCTTTAGACTGATGGATTCGCAGAAACAGCTAACTGAAACCCGTGGTGACGCCGGTTTATTACACAAATGGATCACTCATACCGAAATGGGCTGCAATTGTGCAATTTCGCAGAATGTCATAAATACGCCATGGAGTTGATATGTTGATACATTCGACAATGACCCTAAGTTATGTGTCACATCAGTTATAAATGCAATGCGAGTTATACGAGGTGTCATGTGTCCCCCTCGCTGTGCTGGAACGGCACATTTATTGTAACGCCGGCGATATCATGGTCCCTCGACAGGCGTGTGACGGCTGGCATTGCTACGGTCTTGATATTGCCAGTGCTGCTGCGATGCACCTACAACGATAGTCTTGCAAAGTCGCTGCCCGAAGAAGTGCAGTCCCTAGCCCGTGTGGCTTCTACATAGAGAAAGGTCAGCAGATAAGAATAGTACGGAGTCCTCATCAGATTTCGTCGAAATGCGAGGGCAGTCGCTTTTCTATTCGCGATACCGCTAGAAATGCTAAGCGTTTTACTCGTGATGGCTGAATATTTTGAGCAAGTTAGATAAAAAAGCTCTGACCGACCGAAAAAGAACCTGACATTAGCGTTAATTTGCTGTATACAGAGCTCTACAAACTGCGGCGGTCACTGGACCCATGGCAACCGCGTATAGAGCTGGGCCATATTTTGCAATGCCCAGTGGGCGGCATGGTTGCGATGCGACATTTGCTATTTCTGGGTGTGTGGGTGATCATTGCCACTTTCCATCAGCGTATCACACACAATTGACAATAGTGTATTGGGTCTTTTCCAGGTCACTCAAATATGTAACTTGATATTTATGCAGCAGGTTCCTGCTAGCGTTACTATGTACGTTAATCAATTAGGGTTACGGTCCCGATGGTAAAGGATATGTGCGTACTGCGTAGGAAGCCTGAGGAAGGGGAGTGTACAAATATTAACGATCCTTGTCACTTTGCTTGACGATAATGATCGGTCCCTCGGCCCACGTTAAGACAATGCAAACATGATCAACGCCCTGTTTGGTATGCGCACACATATCCTGAGACCGCCCAGTCTCGCCGCGGAGACGGCAGGAAATGCAAGCGGATGTATGCAGGGCCCACATGGTAGTTGGAATGGCCATTAGCGTCCATAAATATGCACCGTGATCGCTGGCGCTCTCTCAGCCTTGATGCCCATTACAATATAGCCGCGGGCTTAATGGCGCATTACATGATGCTCCACTGTGCCGTCGGGGAAATGAATAACAGGGAACTGTTGGGAACCACAAGAATAACCGACAGATTAGAGACCGGGTCATATAGTGTATGAGGTACCCAATGTTGCATAATGCTATCGTATACGATCAATCGGATGCGGAAGGCAGATATCTGTACCTTAGTCGCAATATGAAAAGCGAGGCGTCTTTCTGCTTAAATAATTATTCGGAAATTTATAAAAGATATCAAATGAGAATAGATATTGCATTTCGTAAGTGGCAAGCAGTTTCTTTTAGGGTTAGGCCAGACCGTTTTCGATCCTTAACTGTGGGACGAGAGGACGATTAGGGAGACATTGGGCTAAGTCGATCGCCGACCGGTGTGCTGAGCTCATCTTGTTTGGACTTGTCAGACCTGTTTGCACCGGTGAGACAAACCACACTGTCCATCTCACAGTCACCTCGGAGGGATGTGTCTTGTATCGTCAGCCAGTGAATATTCACGTCACGTAATTACCTAGCTTCAACAATGATCCTCGTTCGACTCCTATAACAGGCATATATATAACAGGCATCATATAACAGGTTATAATACAACAGGTTATAGATGCCTGTTATTACGGAGCGAGCGAAGCGAGCGTAGTCTTTCCTTAGATTAACGGAAATTTCTGAGTATGAGCGGCCGGCCGGCCGTGGTCACGCTTTTGCGAGGCTTATATCTCAGCAACCACTTGACCGATTTACATGCGGTAATTTTTGTAGGGTAGCTTCATTCCTTCTACCAAGTATTGCACTATTCCCGATGCATGTGGGTGACCCCTTATGCACGTGCCACGTGCAAAACAAAGAGGTGTCACTTTTGCAATTGTTGCAATATCTCGGTAACTACTGGGCCCATTGCGCTGAGAGTTGGCATGTAGGTAGGCACCCACTAGGCAATGCATATCCATGTGCCAGAGTTGGGGTGCTGCTGCACGTGCGCACGTGCAGGGGTCGTTTCCAGATCTCGAGAACGGCTGGACCGATTGCGCTCAAATTTGGTACGCGGTTACGGAGCAGTTAGTAGGGTGCCGTGCACAAGTCAGTTGGGACCCATTTTGCACGTGCGCACGTGCAGGGTGCCGCTTCCAGATCTCGAGAACGGCTGGGCCGATTGTGCTCAAATTTGGCACATCGCTAGAGACCGGTTAGTAGGGTGCCGTGCACAAGTCAGTTGGAGGTACCCCTCGAAATTTCGCACGTGCAAGGCTCACCCTCTCGCTCGCTCCGTTAGTCGCCCCAAAAGGCGTTATACTGGTATATAATTATATAACAGGCATCTAAGTCACTTCATTCATGTCCTCCTATGCAGGTAAGCTTGAATCAATCCTACATATTGTATTTGCCTCACCAGATCACCAGAAGCTTGAATCAATCGGCAATCCTATATATGTATATGCCTCACCAGATCACTCCAACCACTGCAAATTGTCAGATGGCATTTAATTGTATTTCGCCACATGCCGAGCGTCCATTTTTGATTTGGCGTCCTTGATCATCATGGGTGACCACTGACCATATTCCCGAGCCGGGTGCATTTTTTTAAGCCACATCTCACGTCTGCCATCCCTGCGACCTTCGAGGCATTGCCATCATCCACGCTAGGCACGTCAGCCACCTATTGCTCAGGAGCTGACTCTAAAAGCAGCTAGTTGAATTACTGACAGACAGCGCAGTTTTCCACCTCAGAGGCTTCTCCCCAGTCTTCCAATTTGCTGAATTATTCAGCGCAGTAGGTGAATTTCGCTCACTGGGTGATCCAATGAGCAGGAATCAATGATTGTTTAATGCACCAGAGGAATCAGCCACTAATCACTACTGGTCTCGAGTCCATGACCGACGGTCACTAGATGAAGTCACAATGGTCACAGTCAGTGACAGTGACCAGTGACGGTTACATTACAGGTCAACGGTCACATACATAATTGTCCGTCAGTGGTCGATCTAGCGCCAAACACAGGTCACGGTGACTGGGGTCGACCCCGGCGGACACCCACCCCTGTGTCGGGTCTCCGCTCCGTCTGTGTAGCACTCCCTCAGGTGATTCTCCTTTCCGTTACACCTCAGAGACATACTGCGGACCCGATCACCGTCAGTCGATCCCAGCAGACCGCCCTCCACGCCTGGCGATACGACCGAGAAGTCCAGCGAGCGGCACACGACCTCTGCGTCCAGCGGGGTGACCTCTGTGGTGTCACACATCAGCCACCAGCGATAGTAGCCGCGCAGTCGCCACTGCAGCCGGCCGCGGCGGCAGTCGGGGTCACCCACCAGGCGGTACTGGTGGTCCCCCACGGTCACCGGCTCACAGCCCGGGTACTCGGGCAGGTGACGCCGCAGCTCCGTCAGCCCTTCAGACAGCTCGTTCAGCTGGTCCTCCTGCTTCTTCAGGCGGCTGTTGATGGCCGACAGCAGGTCCAGCACGGAGAAGACGCGAGGCTGCGGTTCAAACGGCTCCAGGATGACGGGACTGTTGGGAGAGCTGGGCTTCTGACACACACCGATCACCACCAGCGCGGCACTCAGCCACAGCGAGAGCCACATGGCTGACGGACGTGACTGTCCTCCGTGGCGATCAGCTCTGCAGGACTGACGGAGTAATACTGAGCGTCTTCGCGGAACGTCCTATGCACAGCTGGCACAGAATATGGGCGCGGCAGCTCGGGCGGAGTTCACTGAAGGACTGATCACACTGGACTCACATCTGGAGGGACTCCATCGTTTGTTTTCAGAGACGCGCCTGGGTGTGAGGTAGATACTAATATTTACACAGTCCAGTGTATCAAACTCTAAAATACGTGCCAGGACAGGGCTGCAGCCTGCAAGGGACAGAAAATAAGGAGATATCGGAGTGTTGGAGCGGGAGCCTATGGGTTACGTATAAATATGTAGATAATAAAAAATCAAATCTCACCCTTTCACATTCTGTTCGATAAGGTTAAAGGCCGTAATAATATCACATAAAACATTCGCTACATCCACATTACATTCATATATTTTCATCGCTTCATTGCAACATTTAAGACCCGACAACAAGCGATAGAAATGTGTTAAGGTTCACGAGCGCGCGGTGACCCCGTGCAGGTTCCATCAAGCGGGGCCGGCGTGAGTCCCTCCCTCGGCCACCCGGGCAGTGAACACCGCCACAGCGCTGACATACGAATACAGATCCCACAGCGAGCTCAGCCTCCTCCCAGAGTCCACAGCGCGCCACTAAAACTACTGGGCACCATAGAGTTCCTCGTGAGAACCCGACTCGGACCGATGGCTTCGGTCGCGCCGACGACTACCCTGTTTGTCGACACTGATTCATCGCGAGAGGCCATCAAATCTTCACCAGGGTGAATGTCTCGGCCGATACCAAGCCGACAGTCACTATGTTACAGCATCCATGTGACAGTCGTTACGTGACAACATTAGGGTCGGTCCGCGTGACGTGACGGCCAACAGACGGCGTGACGTGACGAGGCGTCACGCTGATCGCGATAGCAGTCGTGACGCCAATGTCAGCCGTGCCGATAGAGACCCAGTGACGACAGAGGGCTGACGTCAAAGGATCAGTCACGATCAGTCATCACATCGAGTGGCGACAGGTGGTGGTCGGCCAAAATCGGCACGTCCAGTCGCAGGTCGGTCGTCTGTTTACGGAACTGACGAGAATTATATTACCGAATTTAATTCATAAACTTAACATTGTTTTAAGGGAAAATACGCGAGCTTAGCCGGAGTAATGCTCAACTAAAACCAAGAGGACTATCACCGCAAGTTTATGGCTGTTGTAATCTGACCGTCTCTCGAACTTCTGGTCGGCTGGCTGCGGTGACGATGCAGCCTGCGCTTTGTATCGACCAGCGGTAGACGTGTGTCCCGGCCGTCCCCGCTGCCTTCCAGGGCTCACTAGGCTGCTAGGGGCGGCCGGGGCAGCGCACATGCCCGCAGAGAACGTTGACTCCGACTCCTGACTCCGACTCCAACTGATTGAGACTCCAACTGAATCTGAGTGGCAGACGACCGACCGACTCTGGATGACTCGTCATCGACTGACCCGACTCACGACTACCGCTCATCGACATCTGCGTCTAACGCGTCTCACCGACCGTCAGCAGGTCCTTCTCATGAGAGCTGGCTCACATCCGACTCACCGATTCAGGTCGCTGAGTCATTCTAACAACATCTTTCCTCTGTCAATACCATCCGACACAACGCTGGGGAGGTCCTACGCTCGCCATCTGTCCCTTCCCCCACGAAACACAAGTTTCTTTGCACAACGCGGGGTACACACCAGTAACAAAGAGCCACAGGCGGGCGAAGCGCCGATGGGAGCCACAGCTTCCCCGGTGCACCGACACCACATTTACGGGTGAGGCGAGCTGTGGGGAGGGCACAGCGATGTGGGGCAGCTCTGTCACACCTGTGTCCGTGGCTTTGCCACCCATCTGCACCGGGACATACTCGGGACGCCGTTCATTGGACGAGCTGTCTTACTGTTCTCAGTTCCGTGTCACTGTTGTAGCGCACTGCGTCAGTGATGTCCGCGTCATGTTCTTCTCACGAGTGTCATGATGTGGCTACATCAGATGTCCAGTAGCTGCTATAAATGTGCGCACGCGAGCGATGCAGACTTAGTCCCGAAGCTCTATGTATAGCGCGCGAAGCTCTTTACATAACGCGTTCGCTGAATGACGCCTTGGCGAGCGATCTTGATCGCGCGTTTACCTTCCAACAGAAGTCCTGCATTATCGGACATGTTTCTCACTCTGCAACGCGAGCACATCGCAACATTTATAAGAATAGCAGTCTCACCATTTGTTTGAGAAGTTAAGTGAAACACAAACGGTCAGCTGACCGTATATATTTAACCTCGTCTTTCAGCTTGTCATGTCTTGTCTTCATTCGGGCTATGAAAAGATCACCACTTCTCATAGCAATTCTGTCACTTTCCCGCTAAGCATTATTAACGCATTCTTGACATCGTCCACCATCCCGCTAGTATCCTAATCATATAAGCTACACTTGGGAATGACAGAACCGGGATAGATAATTTCAAAACTCGCCGAAGTTTTACAATTTACATGCTGCCTGGAGCACCTTGAATACTTTTACGCTCGAAGATTGCATCTTCTCCGAACGGAGTCACGTGGTGGTTCTGAAAAGTGCGTCCCTATCTACCGACAGCACCTGAGCTGTTTATAGCGACTTTTTCCGGGCGTCCACGTCGATGGCCGGCGCGGGTGTGGGCGACTTTCTGACACCGGCGTAGTAGTTGCGACTCAGGTTGATGTAGAGGAGGGAAACGCCAGCCGAGAGGCCTCGCAGCCCGATGTGAAGCCAGCCCCACCTGCTCCAGACGCCCTGTCAAACAGAGAGAGAGAGAGAGAGGGGGGGGGGGGCAGACGGTGAGTATAGAGAGCACACACTACTGCTGGGCAGACAGGCAACGGAGTTGTGTGGACCGTGAGGACTGAGGTTCTGGTCAGCGCTGTGGACGGGCACGCATAAAAATGTCTTAGGAATGCACAATGCACGTTATCAAAAGGGGAACACCTACAAGCAGAAAAAAATTACCCGATGTGATTTAAAAGCGTTAAATGCTGGGTAAGGTGACTATCATTCTAGAATATGATCGTGACGTTGCAAGGCAAGCCTATTTGATCGAATATTTATTAAGAAGCCGTTAAAAAAGATGACGTTTGCGTCTCTAGTAAAGGGCCAACATTTTGGCCACATTTCTTATCTAGCTGACATAATTACGAGCCTTGTGTATTGTGCAGGCTCTGGCTTGGTCATTTTTGCCGTTAATGGAGTGTCGTAAAAATGTTTTCACCAAATTAACGCTTTGCTATTTCAGTTATAATTATTGACCAGTGAACACGTTCACATGATTCTTAACAATTGCTCACTGAAATATTCCAATACGATATAAAGGTATGCAATATGCTTATAAAACTCTGTTTATTGTTCTTTATTCTTTATTTCAATTCACCACAGAGAAAAAACAGCAAACATACAGTAAACAGTACGGTCAGACTATTATTTATCAGGCAATTGCAAACGTCCTGATACCGATAACAGTGAGTGAATCATGCACCAACAGCTCTGGCTAGAACGAAAAGTCGAATCACTTATGAGCAGCAGAGAATCTGTTTTGAGCTCATAAGACTTGTCATTCACCACACAACAATGATCAGATAGTTTCGACATTTATTCTATCATCATCGAATGAAGCCAATGAATGTGCATATTACTTTTTTAACAGATTTCAAGCATGTGCTACACAATTCACGCATGTTTAGTTTAGCTGTCGTTGATTGAACTGCGAGAGATCGAAAATTTTGTTTGCTACTAGACTATCGGACCGCCCTGCAGCGGAGCTTATTTGCATTGATGTTATAGAACCTTCAAAATGAGCAAAATCTGCACGTGAATCCAAATAGTTACTGTTAACGCCCGGTAAGCACTAAGTGCATAAACAATGCCGCGTCACTCAGTGATACAATGCACAGTGAGGTTGCAGACTATATTTCGAGCCAAGCCCATCTGACTGCAGTTTTCCGTGCGGACAGATCTGTTGATGTCATTCGTGGTCTGGGCCCAGTGAAGTAAGTGTCGGCTCACATTCTGCACTGGCTGAGGGTAAGTGCCGGTTAATTCAATTGTCTGCGCCCTCTGCCAGCCGATGTCAGATCGATGTTTGTGTTTACTGTCAGTCGGTGTCAACTCGTTCATCGTTGTCTGCGCTTTCTGCGAATCATTGTCAACTCGCTGTTTGTGCTCTCCGTGGGCAAGTGTCGCTTCTCTCCAGCGCCGCTCAAAGTCAGTCGGCGCCAGGGCCATACATAGGGTCGACACCATCAGTGGCGTTCTCTGGAGATCCTCCCTCGTCGATAACAGCGACGGGGCCGGGTGGCGGCGAGCTCTGAAACTGCAGCACCACGATCATGTAGGTGACGATGGTGGAGGTGACGCTGAGCAGCGTGGATCGCTCCAGCCGGAACAGGCCCAGCTCGCCGAGCGAGGTCAGCTCTCTGGCGGCCTCCTCACGCTGCAGGGCGGCCTCGGCGGCCAGCTGCGGGTGGCGACGCTGCAGCCGCAGCAGCAGCTCCCAGCGGTGAGTGGCGGCCGCCTGAGCCCGGTGAGACACCTCGCACGGACCCACCAGCACCGTACAGATGGCCAGCAGGTAGACCATCAGCAGCGGCAGGATGGACAGGCTCGTCTTACCCTGCGCGATGGTGACGCAGTACATCATGAAGCTCACCTGGCTCATCACGCCGTACAGCATGGCAATGGTTAGCTCGACGGACATGATGTTAGAGAGCTGAGAAAAACAGGTAGACAGGCGGGTCTGCAGACGACCGATCTCACGCAGCCGGTACGCCGTCATTTGTGCACCATTTTCGAGCTCGTAGGTGAATGAAGAGTTGATCATTTTGAATCCATTGGTCAGCAAGGTTCCAGCGAACACGTACTTGATGGGAGCTAGAAAAAAGATGGGCATCACCGAGGCACTAAGGAAATCTCGCAGAATAATGAGGGAGCAGGTAGTTGTGGATGCAGTACTCGTACAACCACCAAACTCGGCAATTGATGAAGCGCTGCTCGTGGCGACAGAACCAAGAAAAACGAGAAGAACCAACGCCCAGAGACTCAAGCTGGCCACATCCAAACCTCGCCTGTCATCGGTGGCTTGCAGCAGCACATTTACGTCATCCAGACACTCTCTCAACTGACGAAGCAACACTCCGAACCGGCGGCGTCCGTTGACAAAGGTCACCGTCAGCGTAGCCCATATAAGCACGAATCCAGATCCAAAGAAGGTTGAGTCTATAGCCGCATCAATGGTCGATCCGCCAGCTTTCATCATAGACATGCCCGCCTGGAGGAAATCGCGGGTGTCCAGGTAGGAGATGAAGGTCAGCAGGCCGTAGAGGACGGCGCAGTAGACGGTGAACATCCAGCCGGGCCTTCCGGACATACCTGACGTCTCCAGAAGGATAACGAAGGCCCGCGCCGGCCTCGACAGACCACCGGGAGGCCGATGCTGGTCGTGAGGCTTGGACGGGAGAACCTGCATGCTTGTGAGAAAAAATGAAGGTTTGGCAGTTGGCCGCTGATCCATAGCTATATCACATACGACAGGCCGCAACAGCGCTAGTGGGAAAATCGGTGTAAGCTTCCTTGCCGAGATCTCTCAGTGTTCAAGGATGCATCAAGAATTCTGCAGGCCTTATCACCAATTCAGCGTTCGCCAGCAACCAGTATACCCTCAGCAGCGCAGCCAACCTCCTGCTACAGAGGTCAGCCGTTTTCTGAAGGATGATACGCGGCATATCGCCCTCGAAAGCTATCGGCATCGATCTCCTGCCCTCGTCCATTGACCAATGTAAGCATGACATTAGCGTTTCAGCACAAACGACGCTCATTCATGTGAGCGTTGCCCCGGAAAGGTATGTTCTTCGTTCGTGCTTCTAAGTGCCTTCGCATTAGCCGATATTTGTACATTTGGTAGATACGCTTGCGACAATGAAGCGACACCCTCACGTGGTCAACAAGACAATTATCAATGCGTTGCGTGTTTATGTACTTGTATGTTTTTTTGTCATTTTGTTTTCATGGGTTTTTGTGTTAATAGTTATGGGTAACCGTCCTACATGGGCAGATTGCAAATTAATATAAGGCGTGAACCGCAATTAATATGAGCTGGAAGGACAAAGGGTCATGATAAGCATCACGGTATTGTGGGTATAAAGGTATCACAGGTACCGTATTTGTGGCAACGAAAATGTCTTATGGAGAACATTGGTCCGCCTTGTGCTTGTTCATATTCCTCTTTCTTATCCTGTGACGGTTCTCGCTCCTTATTCCTATCCTGTTTCGGTTCTCGTTCCTCGGTCCTGACCTGTGATGGTTCTCGTGCCTCGTGTCGGTCCTGTGACGGTTCCAATTGCTTCCCATTCCTTACACTCGTGCCACACTGGTCCTGTCTGGAAGACAAGCCCCACTGACTGCCGCCAATCTTCCTCCACCCAGTGATTAATTGCCACCAGCGTGTGCCGTGTCTGGCTCCGCAGATAAGAGACTGTGCAGGAGGAGGTGTGATGAGGGAGGCGAGGAAGGGATTCTCTCGTAGACGCCTGCTAGTGTCGAGTGAGTAGCGGCATTGTGCATTCCATAAGAGCTGAAAATGATAAATATTTTTTCGACACACGTGAATATTGCACGGTTGATCCGGCCGATGTTTGCTTATTTTCATTGTCCATAGACCTCTGTATAACATAGGTATACAGAGGCCTATGCATAGTCAAAAACATACATTTTATGATATGTTAAGGACGCATCACAGCTTCATTGCCATCTTCAAAAAGTCATTTCAAAAGGCTCTTTTCTAAACAACATGACGGACGATTTGGCCTCCCGGATCCCTGCGTGCATTAAGTCGATGCAGCCTATCAGCGTTAATGTTGACACTTCGAGACATTTTCCATTCTATAGCACGCTATTTATCGAACATGGCGTGAAAAACACGATGGTCTTTGATGGCTCCGTAAATATGCACAACAAGAAGTATTTGAGCACCTAGTCGCGAGCGCCCGGCGCCAGAGCCGGTATGTTACACGTTCGTTCCTAGATGGCACTAGTAGTCGACGCCTGAAAGGCGACTGCGCCGCAAGACATCCGACCCGCTAGCGCCAACTGATGAAGCTTATAGGCAACTGATACGCAGCTCGTTCACTCTTTTGACTATGAAATCGAGTAAAATATATTTAATTTGATGCGAGTAGAAAATAGATGCTCTCATTTTCCCCGATTTCGTCTCGACATTGGAATAATTTATCTCTTAGCCCCAATTAATTTTTGTAGCGTTACAACACGTCTTTGACCGGGAGTGCCAGGAGCCATTTTTGATGCCCACAGATCTGCAGTACATATATTCAAATCTCCCTTTACCAATCGCAAAGAAGATATGAGCACCAATAGATACAAAGTTATTTGTAAGGAAAAGCCAGCTGCTCGACGACGGATGAGGAAATGCCGCAGTGAGGTGCATACCTGCTTTACCTAGCTTCGTGACACCAAAAAAAGTTGAAATGTTGAATATTATACGAGGGACCTAATTAACAAATATCAGTAAATGCAACGTACAATTTCTTCTTTTCATGCAACCCCGTACTGAACGTTCCACATGTTAACCTGAAACCATTTACAGCTAGACCCCAGACACGTCCCTGCCTCCAAATTACACCAACCATAGCCTGGCGTAGCAGCGCGCACGGTTGTGACACGGACGGTCAGACCCAGGCTTTAGAACTCCGGTCAGACCGTCGCGCCGGCGGCCGCCCTGCGTCGGCTGG